ACACACACACACACACACACACACACACACACACACACACACACACACACACACACACACAAAACCCTAACATCTCCATGTTCGTTGTAAACAACACATCCTGAGGGACCAAGAAGCCAATCACAGGTGAGAAATCACTGCTGGCATTGACAACTGAAGCGTCAAGTGTTTGGATGGATACGAAAGTGATTAGTCCAAGTCTCAGAGGGGAGAAACAAAAAGACAGGGGTCAAAGTACTAATGATTGAACGTGGTGAAGCTGGCATGAAGGAAAAGGGAAAAAAAATATCACCTTCAAAGCTGATTCCTATAAAAGCCATGTAAGTGTCTGTGTGTTTGCTGGAGGAATGTTGTGAGTCTGATTTACCTGTTCCTTGCAGGGCTGAGAACATCACTGTTCTCATTARAAACTGCCTCTGTGCTGTCTCATAGCAACCTAAAAATAGAAATGTCCATATTAGGCTCTATAGCGGTGATGGCTGCTACAAGTTTTGCCCTCTTTAATTGAACGTTGTAAATAGTTGCTAAAATATTTTGACTCCATCGCTCAGTATGTGGAGCAGTGAAACATGTGCCTGTGTCAGGCAGGTATGATCAAAGTACTGTTGAGTTATTAGATCAGTTTTTTTAAGTGGGGTTCTATAGAAAGTTTATGACAGTTTAATTCAGACTGGATTGGTGAGAGCTAATCTGACGGTGACATAACCAAAGTGGATTGCTGTCGTCTTAAAACAAATTCAGTCTCATAAATGTCTGAATCTTTACATTACCATTCATTTCACATTAGGCTTTGTTGGGCAGAAGCATTATATTTCTGCAGGATGTGTTACACCTGCTGCTGGTGATTGCACTTGCACATTCCAGCAATAAGGTTAGTATAAACTGCCTTGAATTATTTTTTTTCAAGGCTGCAGAAATCCATTTGGTCTAGGTCTTATTCAGACCATCAAAGGTTGGGACTGCTAACCATTAGTTAGTAAACAGCAAAGAACGTCTMATGACTTTTGCAGGGGGTCTCAATTACCTTGCTTGAATCAAAAAGCCTCTTGTCACTCCAATTTTATTAATTTTACTTATTGACCTTTATATCCCATTAAGATGACGGAAGGGAAGCCTGGGCCTGAAGGTTAACATGCACGTTTTTGGTCCACAGTACCAAACCGGAGCACCTGGAGAAAATCCCACGCAAGCAAGAGGAGTACATGCAAACTCCCAGGTCCGAACCAGGGATTGAACCCAGGACCAGGGCCAGGAGGCATCTGTGCTAACGACTGAGCTGTTGTATTGACAGTGTCTTTTAGTAAAAGAAAAAAAAAAAGATGTGAGTTTTCAACGACATGGGGCTCACCTCTAATGGAAAACAGCTCCAGGTGTAAAGAATTCATGTCGATGATAAACTCCAGTTGTCCAAGTCTGCTTTCCTTCTTTTCAAAAAGTGTAATTCAGGAGATTAAGTCATGAGGTGGGTAATGAAATAAACAGCTTAATCAGTTATTCAAGGTGTGCCTGAAAAAATAAGATGTGATTTCTAAAAATTGACCAGGTGAAGTATAGCCGCACAACTCGCTGGTCACCTGTTCATGGTTATCCAGAACTCAGTGGGACTCCACCAGTTATGGAATGCTTTCTATTGATTTAGTCAAAAAACAGTCAAGCAGGTAAGATATTAATTGTTCATAATAATTGCCATAGAAATCTACTYCAAAGGATCTGAATCACCACTGAGGTGGCTTATTTCACCCCACTCTGTTTCATTCAGTCCATACAGCTCACGTTTTTTTTTTCTTGAACTAATGTTAAGAAGATTCTTTAATAGTCTTTGTTGTGCCCTTTACTTGACAGTTATTTTAGCAGAAATAAGCACAAATTCATATCAACTTAATGCATTCACGTTTTTTTTTGCATAAAATCAGAAAAAAACACCACAGATATTGTTTTATTTTCATATGAAAATATTAAAATAACACATAGGCTCCACAAACATGTCTGAAAGAGATGGTGCTCGTTTGTTTGCGTCTTGCAGACATTAGGATCATGACAGAGGTTGTTTTTTTTTATTATGTATTCTTCTTTTTATTTTTATCTCCATCAGACGCAGGCTATTTCGGTCGATTCTGACGTCAAGAGACAGCACGTTTCATTCAACAAGCAAGAAACTAAGTTATTTATATCCCGTCGCATGTTCAGGTTGTGATCCTTGAGTGCGCAGTGAAAGGAATACTCCCCATTGGACTGATGTAGCGCGCCTCCATAACAAAAAGCCACACGGCTCGCGCGCTGCGGGGACAGAGACGCACGGCGCGCTGTCACCTAAACTAGGACGCGTCCGTGCGGGAGCAGCCGCGGCTTGGAAAAAAAAAAAAAAAAAAAAAAAAAAGGAAWAMCMAWWMMAAMYTTGTYTTTTTTTTTTTTTTTTTACTCTAACCTCCCCAATATCATCTCCCCCAGATGACACTGCTGAACATGGAGAATATTTTCTTTGATCAGGTAAGTTTTTTTTCTTTTTCCTGTAATCTGCAAAAATGATGACGGTCAAAGAACTTTATGTCCTTGTCTTTCACTCCGTTAGTCTCTTACATTTTGCTTGGCAGTAAAATAAGGATGGTTGTATTATATCAGCACCATCATATGTGCATGACAAATTTGAAATAATAATATTAATAAATGTACTATAGGTCGGATGGAGCGACGCGCGCTCGTCTCGCCAAGTTCATCCAAAATTGGCACCACGATCAGCGGCTCTCAGTGAGCCATTATTTAAACGGCAGCAGATGTTTGTGCCGCGGTATTAAATTTAGATACAAAACGTGACGCTAAAGTGCACCGTCACAGGCACACATTGAATCTAAAATGAGAGGAAATAATCAACAAGGCTGTTTTTACGCACGTTTTGGCGCAATTTGGAACGAGCTTGTTAAAAGCTGTTCTTTTAAAAGGTGAAAAATAGTTTTGATTTTTGTGTCCAAAATATTATCATCTAATTGTTCAATAGGTTTGCTTGTTATTTTAACAGGTTGGTTTCACGTTTTTTAGACTTTTTATGCTATAATTTTAGGAAAATCACAATTATGTCAACATAAAGCAAATTAGAAATCCTAAAAAATATATAGTTATCACAGACATCTACTAATAAACTAGATTCATAATCTTTAATTTGTAGCAGGCTGCCATCTGCTGGTTGTGAAAATTAATCAAAAACACTGAACAAACTTAAGTGAGACCTAATTACAGGATTTTTGTTGTGTCTGCTGAACTAATTTCACAATTTGTTCAAAGGGCTGCGAGCTGTAAGTTCAATCCTGAGAAGATCAGAGACCAGTGGAGGGAATGGCAGACATTCTGGAGCTGCGCACGGACGGAAACTCGCTCCTGAAGGCGGTGTGGCTGAAACGCCTGCGGCTCACGAGGCTCCTGCTGGAAGGAGGCGCGTACATCAACGAGAGCAACGAGCGCGGAGAGACGCCACTCATGGTGGCCTGCATGTCGACACACACCGACCAGCAGAGCGTGAGCAAGTCCAAGCTGGTCAAATATCTGCTGGATAACCAAGCAGACCCCAACATACAGGATAAAGCAGGCAGGACAGCCCTGATGCACGCCTGCATCCACAAGGCTGGACATGAAGTGGTGGATCACCTGCTGAGCAACAGCGCTGATCCCAGTCTGGAGGACCGGAGTGGCGCCTCCGCTCTGGTTTATGCCATCAATGCAGACGATAAGGAGACACTAAAATTACTTTTGGATGCGTGCAAAGCTAAAGGGAAAGAGGTTATCATAATCACTACAGACAAGTCGCCGTGTGGCACCAAAACTACCAAGCAGTACCTAAATGTTCCTCCATCTCCAGAGCTGGTTGAGAGGCCTTCCACCGAATACTGCACCTCTCCTTCTGATGTTGAGGTTAGCGAGTCTCCAGCAACTCAGCAAGAGAAACAAAACACGGTCTTCAGTTTCCAAACGAAGCTAAAATCCTCGAGCACAGCTGCAAAGCTCACCAACGGGCCCATGTCTCCAAATCGACGGCCTGCGAACACCAAACGCGCACGCTTGCCTCAGCTTAAGCGGCTGCAGTCAGAGCCCTGGGGGCTGATCGCTCCCTCCGTCCTGGCTGCGGCCGCGGCCCATGAGGAGAGCAAGAAAGCCAGCTCTGACGAGGACGTTGTTGCAGGTGTGAACGGCCTCTCCCTGAGTAAGAGGTCAGCTTTGTCCCGACAGAACAGCACGGATGGGAAGGACGGCCTGCTCCCGCCAGTGGGCGAGCAGCCCTGCAAAATGACCACCTCGTTATCAGTTCCTCCAACATCCAAGCAGTCGTACGAGAGATCCCTCGGCCAGCACCAGCCGCTGGCCCGCCGCAGCACGGTTCCCACGGAGCAGGAGAGCAGCGGCTCCAGCGGTGGACCGGTCAGTCTGAGAGACACGGTGCAGAGGAGACGTCTGGGAAATGATCACTATGACTCAGACTCGCAGCTCTATTCTGACTCCGCCATGTTAGACTCTCCGAAAGTCCCCGTGGAGCGAAGGAAACTGAACACTTCCCCACTTGCGTTGCTTACCAGTTCCAGAGAGTCCCTCGACAGCAACACATCCTCGCCCAGCACGTCACGAAGGCGTGCGCCTGGCCTCCTGGAGCGGAGAGGCTCGGGTACGTTACTGTTGGACTACATCTCCCACACCAGACCCGGAATCCTGCCTCCTCTAAATATCAACCCAAACCCTCCCATTCCTGATATCGGGGCTAGTAACAAACCCTCCTCGCCTCTGTCCACAGGTGTTAAATCCATAGCTCCAGTAGCACCAAACACACCAAAGAGAGGAGGCCTCAAGCCCAAGAAGAAGCTTGTGAGAAGGCACTCTATGCAAGTGGAGCAGATGAAACAGCTCTCGGCCTTTGACGAACCTGCTCATTAGTTAGTAGTTTCATTAATTCAGCAAATACTGTGGCAGTAGAAATGTATACAACATTACTAGTCAGGAAGTACATCCATAGGTTCAGTTGTGTGGACACGCAGCTGTCTAGATGTTGAATAATATATAATTTATTACAAAAAAAACATATTAAAACTGAGCAATATAGATAGATTTCTTCCCCGTGTTGTACCCAACCCTAAAGGCATAGCTCATACATTAAGAGGGGTTTTGTGCTACGATCAGTTAATATCTTACCTGTTGTAGATCTCTACACAACCATTATTTGGAGAAAAAATGTTTAATTGTGATCAGATTGGTGTGCTAAAGACCAGTTGAAGTGGGGCCAAGAAAAATGTGGATTTACTGCCATCTTAAGAAAAGGAGAAAAAAAAAAAGTTATATGTCCAAATAGTATTTTATACAATTTTAAACAGATGCTAATTTCTCATTACATGGTTATTTTTGCAAAAATGATATGATTTTTGTTGCTAAAAGTGCCACAGGCTGCATCAGAAATGTGACAGTAGTTCAGTGGTAGGGAGGTTGTATTTTGGTCAGAGGCTGGATCTTCAATCATGTGCTGAAGTATCCTTAGGCAGGACAATAAACCTCCCACCAGCTCCACACTGTGACCAGTACTGCTTATCTGTGTATTACTGACAATATAAAAAGTGCTGTACATAGAATTAAAATATAGAACAGAAAGAACTGAAAGTGTGTTATTATAAAATGCTTTACAACAGAGATCCACAACCCTGTTCCACATGGCTCACTGTCTTGCATATTTTAGCCGTTTTCCTGCTTCAACACACCTGAATAAAAAAATTTGATTGACCTATTCAGAATGTCAACAAGTGTAGCAGAAGCCTTAACTTTACTCAGGTGGGCTGAAGAAGGGAAACATTGAAAACATGCAGAACAGCCATGAGAATCAGGGTTAGGGACATTTGCTTTAGAGGACCTATACATATAGACTATTTTATTCAATCTAAAATTTCAAATAACTGATTTTTTTACGAATAACTATGAAATGTGAACATTTTTTTTAGATTGGAGTTGTTTGAATTAAGCAGGAATCTATTTTGTTCCTGGCCCCACTTGATTAGTCAGAATTAAACTTGATTTTTTCCAAATTGAAGTCATTCAAAAAAGCTATCTACAACAGGTGAGATATTAACTGCTCACAAAACCCCACTTCAAAATTTTTGAACTGCTCCTTTTAAAGGTTGTTATATTTAGACTTTGCAACGTTTRTTGTATATTTATTATTTTTTGAATGTAAATGCCAAGAGTGGTACTTCTTCTCCAAACCGTCTGTCTTACACAATCATGTAGGGAACATACAGGGTTCATTTATATCCAAGCAGGCCACTTGGGTGCACTTTGTGCATATGTAATTAGCACCATTAATAGACTTTATCTGGGAGAGACAAAGAAGTGATGCGCTTGTCTGAGATGTAGCTTTGAGTGGAATAATATTTGACTGTTTGCAGCAATTTTGTACAAAGTGCCTTCAAGAAAAAAACAACTAAAAAAGTTGAGAAAAGGAGCGTAGACGTGTTTTATTAGTGCCATTTTAATTCATGTTGATGTAATCAACATGTTTTAACATTGTTTCTCTAACATAAAACAAAATAAAAGCTATTGATGATTGAACATGATGTGAATTATTATTATGTCTTTATGATCCTAACAATAAAAATACATAAACTCAGCAAAGCTCATAATTCTTAAAGGGGCAATATTATGTGTTTCTCAGGCATACATTTAAATACTATACCATAATAAAGTATCTATGTCACCTTTAGTTGTTATTAAAATGCTGTTTTTATGTTTAAATAGAAAATAAACTTATCTTCTCATCACTTCCTCTTCTAAACGCCTTGAAATTGGCCTCTGTCTCTTTAAGAACCTCCTTCTGCTCTGTCTCGCCCATTTCGGTGTGTGTGTGTGGGGACACTAAGATGCAGTTTACTTTGCATCTGAAAATACATTTCCTCAAAGGTATTTTGAATCTGAAAAGAGCTTCACTGAGTGAGAACTAATGTTGAGAGCAGCGGACAGTTTCAGTTTCACTTTCAGTTTCACCTGTTGTTTGCTTTGTCACTGCCGAGAGCCTGCAGGAGTCATGGGCGGGGTGTGTGGGGAGGTGGGGGGAGTGCTCCGCCATGAGGAAGTTCGGCTTAAAGACACGTCCCAGGGG